ACTTCCATTCCAGTAACTGACAGTTTTTACAGCACAAATGACAACTGGGGGGCACGCCTGCTTTCTCTTCTATCTGTAAGATCCAACACCAGATTGCCTTCCATTGGAAATTAACATTGTTGAAAAATAACCATATCAAGACCTTAAAAAATGCTCAACAATTTTTCAATTTTTTTTAAAAGAAAAACTAGACATTATGACCATTAAGCTAGCGTGGATAAGGAAATCTGTAGTAGCATCATCTGCAATTGGCAGATATACCTTCCAGCTATTCTGGTCAGTCTTCATCAAAAAAGACCTAAGAGAAATAAATATAATAGTTTAAAGTGCTGATTTAATATCACTTTCACTGGAGCTTCATTATCAAATTATCTTTTTTTTTTAACTGACGTGCGATAGGATTGTTAGTGTTCTGGGGAAACAAAGTGCCTGCCTCACCTCCCTAACACAACCCAATTCTTCCCAAGGATACTGAAAAACAGTAATTTGACTACTGGGCCAAGACAAGAAAGAGTTAACTGTTCAAATGCCTGCTCAGAGTCTCATAAAATCTGCATGTCCAGGAGTGGAGTTAAAAAAAAAAAATACATCTTATTCATTGCAATGGAAAAACTGCACACTGATGTTTAATAGTAAAGTATCTTTTGTGTGTTATGGTCTATACAAAATGTAACATTGCATTAACTTCAAAGGTGGTAAGAAGATTAAAATTAAAAGTTCATGGGACGTGACATGCAACACGGCATTAAAGATATAAGACTGAATAATCCCAGTGCCTTAGCAGGATCCTTTTATAGTTCTTTGTTATGAGGGAAATTCTTAAAATGCAATCCAGCAAGCATAAGTGTAAGTAAAGCTTTTAAAATCTTATCACAAAATGTAATTTAGAAAGCTAATCATCAAAGCATTTTTTATGGGAACTGAAGGGGGCTTTGCTTATTAAAATCAATACAACTCACTTTAAGATGTTATAGTTGTGCTGTTTTTAACTCCTAAAACAGCTCCTCACATTTAACAATTTCTGAAAAAATACCTAAAATCACATGACAGGTTTCCAAGAGTCACTCTCATACACTCCTCCCGAACCATCCCAAGAACCCTGCACTCTTTGTTATATTCAAGGCAACATTAAATCTCCCTGGTGCTAAATTAGAAAGAACATGATAAAGGATAGTGACGTGGAAGCAGGAAGTTTCATCCTGGAAACCGGCAGTGAAAACTGCCATTCTCCTACAGTGGCTGAAGTACTTATTCAGGTCATTGCTACTTCAACCCAGTGCGTCTCAACGTGTGGTCTTGGGAACTGTAGCAGCAGCATCACCAGGGAACTTGTTAGAAATGCAAATTCACCGCCCCACCCCAGACCAACTGAACAGAAACTCTGGGAATGGGGCCCAGCAATTTGTGTTTTAACAAGCACTACGGGAGATTATAATGTGGTACTCCAAAGTTCAAGAACCACGCCTCCTCAAACTTTAATGTACATAAGAATCACCTGGGGAGCTTGTTAAACGGCAGATTCTAACTTAGCAGGTCTGAGGTGGGGCCTGAGAGCCTAAATTTCGAACAAGTTCCCAGGTGATATCTTCTGCAGACCACACCGCAAGTGTTTCTCAAACCGGTTGTTTAACAAAATTACCCAGGGTGCTCGTAAAATACGGGTTCCCAGGCACCACCCCAGACCAAATTAATCCAAATTTCAGGAGAAAGGCCTAGTTGCGTACAACTAGTATTCCACTTCAGCTGCACATTAAAATCAGCTGGAGAGCTTTTAAAAATCCTGATGCCCAGGCCCCATCCAAGGCCAATTAAATCAGAATCTCTGGGGTTGGGACACAGGCATCCATATTTTTAAATAATTCCCTGGTGACTCGAAGTGCAGCCAAGGTTGAGACAACTGCTCAGCAGTATAACTGGCTCAACACCTGGCACAGTGGATCTCTTTATAGTAGTAAATGGTGCCCTATAACCCAGCTACCTGGGTCCCCACCTATAAATCCAAGAGCTCTGGCTCTGAATAGTAAAATGCACCTAAAGTCCTGTTTTTATCATGTCTTGAGCCTTATTTCTGCTGGTGAATGTGCTTGTACAGTTGAGACCAAGGATTTAGTAATACATTACTTTTAACACAAATGTTACCTGTCTTCCGTTAAATGAGTTTCCACCGTCCTCCCAAGCTCTAGCTACTGCTCTCCGCAGTGAGGCAGTTGCTTCAAGAAAGCAGCCATCATCAAAATTTGTATCCATACAGACTATTCACATATTGACATCCCCCGCCCCCAAAACCTGAAACAAATCACTGGAAATTTCTAATAATCTTTTAGAGTGAAAGGATAACTGATGAATCTAGGTCTTCTAAACTTCTAAAAGGCAGATTTCACTAATTACAAACATTTTGACAGAAAGGTCCTGGGAAAGGATGAAAATGGTGTGCTTTTACACATGAGAATCTGAAACTGTCGAAAACACATCTTCTGGTAGACAGAGATAGGACCTGAAACACCAATGCTCATGACATGGTAGTAATAACTCTGAGGGAGAAGAAAGCAATATGTCTATTTATGTCTTATGTTCCCCAGCACAAAACCACACTAATAAGTACACAATGCTATTAAATATGTAAAACTGAAAGAAAATGTGTGGTGGTTACTAAGGAATTGTGAAGTGATTAGTTAGTTCGCTCCCATAACCAAACAGTGCTTTTAAGAAATTTTCCTGAATTTTCCACGGTATATCTCAAAAATGACGTTAAGATAAATGAAAATAAGATGCAGTCCTTTTTCCACTTAAGTGAACTTCGCCCCTTGGTCATGTTCAGTGTCTTTTCTAAATTAGTTGCTTCATAGAATACATGTCACATTCAAGGCCTACTAAATAATAAGTTATTCTTCCACCATCATTTCAACATAGCCACAGTGGTCAAGAGGGTGCCTTATTTTATCTGTTTAATTCCGTAAAAAAGAAATCCAGTAGATGGGGTATTAGAAACAACACCTCAATACACGTTCAAAGGAGCCACTGTTAAATGACATTTAACAAGCATTTTCTATATGAACTGGTCAAGCTCACTTTTCTTTTAAAATTCTGGTTATAGTCATTCAGTTAACCCGAACTCACTTTAAAATGTGTTAAAATTGCATCTCCTGAAAGTGTGTTCTCATATGCTTTGGAGCAATGGAACATGACTAGTAAAACAGCCTTTCCCAAACTCATGTAACTAAACAGGAGTGAATTTTTGCAGTCCCATGACTTTGCACAACCAACCTATGTATCGTCCCAGGCCTGGCTTTAATACATCACAGACATCCAAGAGAAGACATAAAAGTCACAAATAAGTGACCCACACTAATAGATATTTCATATTTTTACATAGTAGTCTTTTCCAAATGAATTTTACTTCTTAACCAAAACCAAATTGGCTAAAATGCGGGCTTAGGATTTAAGCTCCTAGAATTAAAACTAAGACATTTATAAAGATACTCAGTTTATTTGACAGTGTCAGTCTGGATGCCATTCCATGCATTTCTTATGAACCAATGCCCAAAGATGAATCAAGTGTGAAAGAAAATGCACAGACCACAGAAGAACCATACAAAATTAAATACATTTAGAGTATCAAATCTAAAGAAAACAAATGATACAAAATTACAATTTCCAGGACATTTTATTTCCACTTTACATATTAACTTAAGATTTTTAACCTAGGCATAAATGTTTATACTTATCCAGTAGTAGTATAATCCCCTAATCTCACAGAGTGAAAAGAAGCAGTGTATAAAGAACAATTCAGGTGTTTATGATATGGGGACAAGAAGCACTTGTCTTAGCTAGCAAACGGGTTGATGCTTTTCAATATAAATTTCTTTGAAATTTTTCTGTATTATTTTTCTTGTTGATGCTAAGAACTCATAATAAAAACAATCGCTCTCTTTGTCACTCCGCCCTTCCTTGCGCTTTACATTCTGACTAGTGTTTAACTTGAAAAGTCAGTTTATACTCAGTTTACACTTTGGAAAAAAAAAAGTATGCCCCATCTCCCACACATCCAAATAGACAGGGATCAAAATTAACCCGGCTTTTAGCAGTACCACTGCTATTTTAAACAATTTCAACCACACACTTGAAGAGCAAAATAAGAGTACAAAACCAAAGGAAACCATAAAAATTCCTACACACTGCTGGGATTAACTATTTCTCATCGTCAAGCGTAACATAGATTTCTTAAAAGTGAAATAGGCACTAAAGCAAATGCAAGCTTAATGTACAAACTGACAGTGGTTCTATGAGGACAGTTTCCTTTGAATGAACTATTACCCAGTGGAATTTAAAAAAATAAGTCTCACTCCTCTAATACGACAGCTGGCGTTGCGCTTCACTAGAAACACATCTTAATGGGTTTGTTCCGATAAAAATTGGTAGTAAAGGGAAAATGTGTTTTTAAAAAACCTCCTCCCTCCCAGGACACCAGGAAACATGAACGAAAAGAGAGGTAACCTCATAAGCTCCGGGGCTAAGTTCCATTCCTAGCAGAACAGAAGTTGGATAGTTATTTTTCACCCTGCAATGGGATAGTAACTCCTCATGTGCAAGGCGGGAATACTGGCGGGGCTTTCACTGGGGGTAATGGAAACCAAAGTGAGGGGACGTGAACACCTTGAGTAATTCGGTTCTACAAAACCCGGGGCGGTGTGGACGCGGGGTGGCGAAAGAAAGGAGGAATGGGTCAAAACTCCTCAAAGTTATCGCAAAGAGAAAGCGAACACCTCTGGGAGCCAGTGAGCCATCTCTTGCACCAGCACCCTGCTCGAAGTGTAGGGCACTTGCCTCGGAGGACAGGAAGCGCGAGGTGCTCTGCCTTGACTTAGGTCGAGTGGTCCGGGGACCTGGGCAGCGAAAGGGGCCGGGGCAGCCGCTGACGGGGTGGCAGACTCGTACTTTGCCTCAACTCTGAGCCTCATCCCAAGAGCGAGGGAGAGGGCGGCGGAGGGCACGGTACTCACTAGGGTTCGTTGGTGAACCGAGGGGTCCGGGGCTGCTGGTATCCGTACAGGTGACAGTAGAGCACATCGAAGCAAAAGCAGCACATCTCCGCTGACACCACCATCTTCCGGGAGCCGGGCGATGAGGACGAGACGCCGGACGACAAGGAGGGCGAGGAAGAGATGGACGCGGCTGGGGTGGAAAGTAGGGTCCCCACTCCGCAGCTCGGAGGTGGCGACAGGGAAATCCCCCCGCCGCCACCGCCGCAGCCCTGGGGGGGAGAGAGGGTACAGCCGCTGCCGCTACCTCCTCCGCTGAGCCCTCCCAACCCGTTGAGCCGCGTACCGGCGCCTCCTAGTCCCAGCTCGCCAGCTCGGCACTGGCTCTCTCCGCTGCAGTGGGAGGAGGAGGAGGCGCCACCACCGCCACCCGAGCCAGAGGGGGGCGAACTGGACAGTTTCTGCTTCTTCACCCCGCAGCAGCCCGCCGCCATCTTGGAACAGTCTCCCCCACGCAGCGCTTCCGACCCATAAGT